GGAGGTCTCCCATTAGCAGCCCAGGAGCCATATGCAGACCTCAGCCATATGCATTCTGTTTGGTTCTGGACTATTTCAATAACTTAAGAGTTTTTATTTATTTATTGTTTTTTTAAAAATATATATTTTTTATTGATTTCAGAGAGGAAAGGAAAGGGAGAGAGAGATAGAAACATCAATGATGAGAGAGAATCACCAGACTGGCTGCCTCCTGCACGCCTCCAGTGGGGAGATGGAGCCTGCAACCCAGGCATGTGCCCGTGACCGGAATCGAACCTGGGACCCTTCAGGCTGCAGGCTCTATCCACTGAGCCAAACCGGCTAGGGCTATTTTTTTTTTTTTTTTTTTTTTTTTTTTGGAGGGTGGAGAAAAAGCACAAATTAGTGACCATGGCATAGGCTTTGGCAGATGATAAACAGGCACTGCTGTTATTGTTATTATTATTATTAATTTTGAACTGGGCCCTAGTGCTAAGTATCCTAGTTGTTCAAGTTAAAAAACTCTACTACTATCATCACTATGTTTATAGTAATTATTATTATATGTGAACATAGCTCATACAGTGCTTGGCACATGGTAAGTGTTCAAGGACATGCAGCTATTATATCATTAGATGTGGGAAATCTTAGAAAACAGAGGGAGCTATTACTAGAAGCTAAAGCAGTGGTTCTCAACCTGTGGGTCACGACCCCTTTGGCGGTCGAACGACCCTTTCACAGGGGTCGCCTAAGACCATCCTGCATATCAGATATTTACATTATGATTCATAACAGTAGCAACATTACAGTTATGAAGTAGCAACGAAAATAATTTTATGGTTGGGTCACAACACGAGGAACTGTATTTAAAGGGCCAGAAGGTTGAGAACCACTGAGCTAAAGGCACTTGGCTCAAAGCACAGAGACAGTGTTGAAGGATGCTACCACCACCAGAACATCCGGGAAAGGGCCTGGTCCCGCCACCCACGGTTGTCCCTCTGCAGCGGTCGGGTCATCGGGGAGGCTGCAGAGGCCACCGTGCTGCCCTTACCCTCTGGGTACTTGTAGAGGCCCGTGATGTCCACGCGGGAGTCGCTGCCCACAGCCTTGGTGCTGATGCACCTCCCAATCTTCTTCGTGTCTGAATACACACGTTCCCTGCTGTCATCCTCGTTCCAGAGCCAGGTGATGTAGTCTGCATTGACCTCCGCAAACACAAAGGGGCCATCGTGGGCCAGGTGCACGTCGCCCTCACGGATGGCAGTGACTGAGGCCGGGCCGCACCGGAACACGCCTGGGCAGGAGGGGTGGGGGTGAGCAGCATGGGTGAGGGAAAGCAGGTGTCTGGGACCCACCCGGCTGAGCCCATACCTTCGCTCTCCTCCTGGGGGGTGGCATCCAGAACCTGCCAGCCATTGTAAGAGGGGCCCAGGTCCTGCCGGGCAAACCAGCTCTCATTCCAGACGTGGAAATTCCTGCCACAGAGAGAGGAGGGGGCAGGGTGGCCTACAGTGAGCACAGAGGCCCATGTTAGGGGAACTTCCTAGTGGGAGCCATCCCTGGGCCGGTACTCTGCAAGAGTGCTGAGGCGGGATCTTGTGAGCCATTCATTCAACTGGTCTGATGAGAACATATCGTGTGTGTGTGTGTGTGTGTGTGTGTATGTGTGTGTGTGTGTGTGTGTATCAAGAACCTGTTGTTTAAGGTACTAGAAATACAACTGCAAATAAGACAGAAGATCCTTGCTCTCATGCAGCTTACATTCTAACAAAGGAGACAGATGGGGAGATAGGCGAAATTAAGTAAGCAGATAAATAAAACAAATGCAAATAACAATGCTGTGGAAAGAGGGGCCTGAGATAGAGCATAACTGCTGGAGACCTGCTGTAGGTAAATGACATCTGAGATGAGAGTTAAAGGAGAAAGAAGTAGCCATGGGAGGAGTGAAGGGAACAGTGTTCCAGGCAGGAGGACTAGCATGTGCCAAGGCTCTCGAGACAAGAGAAAGCTTCAGTGTGTTCAAGGAACAGAAGGTATGTAAGTATCTCTGGGCTACAGCAAGCGTGGGGTGCACGTAGGGTTCAGATTATGCAGAGTTCTGTAGGCTTTGGTAAGGAGCTCAGGTTTTATTTTAAGTTTCCTACGTTAAAGATGAGACTGTGAGACGAGGAAAGGTGACACAGGGTCACACAGTAAGGAAGCAGCAGAGAGAAACCTAGTTGATCAGACGTGGAATCTTTACAGCTGGTCTCCGAACCCTTGTTTGGTAGGTAATGGTCTTTGGGAAGACATCTTGATAAGCATCTGGGGGCAAACAGGAGGACAGCGACAGCCTGCATGGTGACAGAGGCCCCAGCATCCAAAAGAAGGTCTGTTCCTTTTTGTGGCGCTCCTGTGGGGACAGGGAGTGAAGAGAAGCAAAAAGAGAAGGAAAGGGGAGAAGAGAGGCAGGTGATGTGAGGCAGGAGAAGGGCGGGGGGAGGGCTCCTGGGCACACTCCTTGGAGGGGCGAGGACATTCGAAGGCCTGGCTTGCCAAGGCTGTCTGTGCTCTGTGTTGTATGTTCTTCCTGGTTTCCTCTGCTCTTTAGAAAGTTGACTTGTGTGACAACTCGTATACGTATGAACATTCGGACGAGGTTATTCACTGAAGCCTTGTCTATAAAAGGCAGCTGTTCGGTCCATCCATGTGAGATGGTTAGAGAAACAATGATTGTTCTCATATAATTGAAAGGCAGACCAGGTGCACACCCCTGCTGGTCCACTCACTAGCTGTATGGCCTTAGACAAGTTACCTAACCTCTCTGTGCTCAGGTTCCTCATCTGCAAAATAGAGATAATAATACTACCTAGCTCACAAGGTTCTTTGGAGGAACGTGAGTTAGTATATATGTAGCACTCAGAACTGGGCCTCGCATGCACTAGTGCGACATTATTTTACACACTACAAATAATAAGAAAACCTTGAGTGTACTGATATAAAGTTGTTAAATGCAAAAGCAAGATGACAGTACAGGCAGATCTGGAAGATGTTTTGGGTTCAGTTCCAGACCACCGCAATAAAGCAAGGTATCACAATAAACGAGTTGTGATTTTTTTTGCTTACGAGGGGAGGGGGTCTTGCCTTCAATTTGTCAAAAATGCAACATCTGTGAAGTGCAATAAAGCGAAGCGCAGTAAATAAAACGTGCAACAAGACGAGGTCTGCCTTGTTACACAAAGCTGCCAATATTAAAAAGCAGGTGTGTAAGGGGACTCACTATGTGCATGTTCTTGTGTCTGCAGAGACTCTCTGGGAAGAGACGGGAGAAGCTAATCACAGTGCTGCCTCCGGGAGGAGGACAGGGAGGCTGGGACGGGTGGGAGGGAGACTTACCACTGTGGCCCATTTTGTACCTTTGGAATTTCAAAGCACATGAATGCGTTTCCTATTTTCAAAAATGTAATAGTCACAGGACTCTGGGGAGGGCTTTGTCCCACAGAGGGGAGGACCAGGGGTTCGAGGTGGTCAGACCTTGAGCCCCCTCATGACCTCTGAGTCACGTGTCCAAAGACTCCTGCATCTCAGCAGAGTCCCTCTGCCTAAGACCCCCCCCCCCCCCCCCCCCGGGTGGGAGGGAGACTTACCACTGTGGCCCATTTTGTACCTTTGGAATTTCAAAGCACATGAATGCGTTTCCTATTTTCAAAAATGTAATAGTCACAGGACTCTGGGGAGGGCTTTGTCCCACAGAGGGGAGGACCAGGGGTTCGAGGTGGTCAGACCTTGAGCCCCCTCATGACCTCTGAGTCACGTGTCCAAAGACTCCTGCATCTCAGCAGAGTCCCTCTGCCTACCAAAGCCCCCCCCCCCCACACACACACGGTGCCTCTCACTCCTCCCAGAACTGGCTCAACTCAGGAGAGTTGGGCTCCGGGTTGGGGACTGCCTCAGGGAGCCCCTGGGACCCAGCGGGCCCAGGACTCACCACATGCTGTCTTCCGTCAGGTCCTCCAGGGTCCGCCCGAAGGAGTCCACGTATTTGTCCACACTCAGGTTTCTGTCTGTGTCGTGGGCCGAGTTAAAGTTGGACACAACCCGTGTCGCGATCCCCAAGCACCTAAGGACTGAAAAGTAGGAGGCTGGTGAGGCTCCAGGAGCAGCCAGGCCCCCGCACTGGGGAGGGGTCTGGCGCTCCCAGCCTGCTGCCCCCCTCATTTCTGGCCACAGGCTCCTCCTTGTCTTTGTCTACTTGGTCAGGGCCAAGACTCCTGTCTCCACTCTCACAAACACCACCCTCTCCTCTACCTTCTTTCAGGGGACTTCTGGGGACACTACTGCCCCCTCCCCCACTTTTGAATGGACAGGCTCCAAGGCTGACAGGACCTTGGAAGCCATGTAACAGCCTTGGAATCCCGAGGGGACCGGAGGCCGTGGGGCCACAGGGTTTGCCCAAGGCCACTCAGTGAGTTCCGGGCAGAGGGAGGGGGGACTCCTTCGGCCAAATAAATGATCCACAGTCACGTAAATAAATTATCTTCTTTCTTTCTTCATTAGCCAGACTTCTATTTCCCCTTCACCAGTAAAGAAAGACTGGGTGTGTTTTTTTTTTTGTGGGGGGGCGGTGCATTGGGAGGGAGGGAAGAGAAGAGATCTATGCAAATAAATGTAAATGAGAGAACTGGCCTAATTTTGTAATACCTGTGCACATGACTCCAGCGAAGACCCAACACTGGCCGTATTTGACTGGCTTGAACCTGCCCTTGAACCACTTGCGCAGGATGGCCACGCTGCCGCGCCAGTGCAGTGGGCTGGTGCCGCCGCCGTACTTGCCCTGCCACTGGCCTTGAACCACGCCCCGGTCGTTGTTGCTGTTCACCTGCACAGACGGATGGGTCCACCACCAGCAGGGCTCCCCCCTTCGGCAGCCTCACCATCGTACAATCACCTCCAGCTTTGGACCACCCAGGCACTTGGGGTCACCCCTTGCTTTTAAATTGTCTGAAAATTTTACTGTCTTAAAATTTCTACTTTTCGCTACCATTTACTACGTGCAGTGACCTCCCATTGGGTTACTCTATTGTTGGAAATCATCTACGGTCTTAGAGCATTTCCTGTTTTGAATGGTGTGTTTTGGGGAACTGTTGGTCGAATAACAATTATGGAGACGGCTAACATTCAATAAACGCTTCCCGGGTGCCAGGCACGCCTCTAAAGCTTTGGGCCCACCATATTAATCTGCTTAAAGTAGGTTCTATTATTTTACTTTTGTCTTCAGATGAAAAAGAAAAAAAAAGAAAAAGAGAGAGAGATTCAGAGAGGGTAAGGGACTTGCCCTGATCACACAGCAAGTGAATAAAAGGAGTTCAGGGCTTGTGCCCCAGGGCCATAGTGTCTGCTGTCAGCACTGGTCACTGCTTTGGAGTCCCTGTGCTCCAACAGCTCTCTGAGGTCTTGGGGAACTGAGAGTGTCAAATATGAGGAAAGCAGCTTTGTCGATTTTGTCTAACACTTGCTTTCTTAGAGAGAGCTACAAGGCCTTCTTCTGAGGAGGGAGGACTGGTGTGTAACGGGTTAAAGATGGCAGCCCTCCCCAGGAGGTGTGTCTGAGTACCCTCTCCCCGAATCTGGCTGCTGTGGCTACTTTGCCAAGGACTATGGTGGAAGTGACGCTGCGCCAGTTTCCAGGCCCAGGCGCTCATGCCACTGGCAGCTCCGACTTCCTCTTTCTGGAACTACCAGGTGGGGAGAAGCCAGGCGCCGTGCCTGATTACCCTGAGACTTCCCTGCTCCGAGGAAGCCCAGCCCAGCCACGTGGAAAGGCTGTATGGAGAGACAGAGTGATGACTGGCCAGCCCCCGCTCTTCCCACTACCCCAGCCCAGCGCCAGCCAGGAAAGTGCACAAGCCATCTTCACGGTCCAGCTCCGGCGGGCGCGGCACGGGGGAGACCAAGGGCTGCCAGAGAACACTGGCCGCCAGAACCAAGGCCCCAGATAGATGGTCCCATCAAACCGCCCCAGACATCTGCAGCCACTCAGACACCCCCCCCCGCCCAAGCATCTTGGAGCAGAGACAAGCCATCCGCGCAGTGCCCTGCCCAAGTCCCTGATCCGTAAAATTGTAAGCATAATAAATGGTTGTTTTAGAGCCCTGAATTTTGGGGTGGTTTGTTAGGCAGCAGTAGAGAATTAAAACAAGAGGTTGGCGGGGATGGCGGGGCTCCTCACCATGGCGCTGATGATCCTGGTGACGTAGACGGGGTCGTGGCGGCAGGACACATCGGTGGCCGGGTCGTTTTGGTGACTGGGGCTTCGGTCCAGGATGGAGAGGCAAATGTTCAGGATGTCCTCCTCAAACTGTCCCCAGAGAGGCTGTGCTTAGAGCCAGAGCCTCACCCGTATTCCAGACCCTCCCACGACCTCACCCAGTCAGTCATTTGTGTTGTGCAGGGGAAGGGGAGTTTGCCTCCGTGTCACCACCCAGGGGCCCCACAGAGCATCCCCAAGACTCAGAAACCCTTCCTCAAAAGTCACCCGGGAACCAGAAGCTCAACCCTAACCATGTCCTCTCCTGCTCAATAGCCCCTGTGGCTCCCCAGTGCCCGCAGTCAATAGTGTGAACTTGTGGCTCTGGAGTCACGTCGACCCCACCGGCTTACTTGGACGGTTTCTATGATTTTTTTCAACTACATTTGAATTAATTGGCAAACTGAGCGAACTCATTTAAACACTGGGAAGTTTTTACGTACAAATTAAAATGTCCAGTCTTGGAAAATTTGGAGGGTCTGGGAACCCTCACTTTCCCACATGACTCTAAGCAGTGGATGCTGAGAAGTGTATCGTCCCCGCCCATTCCCTGACCCCAAATGCTTTCCACACCCACTCCTCAGCCCACAGTCAAGGGCCTTCCCTTGCCTGCCACTCTTCTTCTGGCTGGGCACCCGGAGCCCAGGCAGACGGAGCTCCTCCAGCAGAACCTCGGTACCCTCCGACTTCCCACCTCCTGCTGCCCTGTCTGCTCTTCCCTCTGCCCGTCCAGGTCCCGCCCAACTTTGGACACCAGCCCCTGTTAATACCACGAAGCCTCCCACAAGCCCCACAGTGGCGTTTCCTTTCATGATCTTCTGTACACCCTCTGCTCCCACCTCTACTACCCTGACTTTCCTCTGCCCATCATGCCTGTATTGTAACTATTTATCTAAGCCAGAGGCTCTCAGGTGTGGCCCCAGACCAGCAGCAATGACTTCACTTGGGATCTTGTTAGAAATGCAAATTATCCCCTCTCCAGCCCTTCATGAGTCAGCCACTCTGGGGGTGGTGCCCAGCCATCTGTGTGTTTTCAGGAGCCCTCCACATGATGCTGGTGCAGGCTTGAGACTGAGAACCCTTGATCTATGATATTTATCTTTCTACTAAAGGCCCGGTGCACAAAATTTGTGCACGGGGGCGAGGGTGTCCCCTCAGCCTGGCCTGCACCCTCTCCAATCTGGGACCCCTCAGGCAATGTCCGACTGCCTGTTTAGGCCCGATCCCTGGGACATCCCCGGGACCGCTGGCTCCTAACTGCTCACCTGCTTCCCTGCCTGATTGTCCTAACTGCCCCCCCTGCCAGCCTGGTCACCCCAAACCGCCTCTGCCTGCTGGCCTGGTCGCCCCCAACTACTGCCCTGCCAGCTTGGTTGCCCCTTACTGCCCCCCTTTGCCGGTCTGGTCGCCCTTAACTGCACCCCCCTGCCGACCTGGTCACCTCCAACTGCCCCCCTGCAGGCCTGGTCCCCCCCCCCGCCCCCCCCCCCCCCCGCCCCTTGGTCACCTTTCCCTAACCCCCCTGCTGGCTCGGTCACTCCATGCAGCCTGCTGTTCAGTCATTTGGTCACCTTTCCCTAAACCCCCTGCTGGCTCAGTCACTCCATGCAGCCTGCTGTTCAGTTGTTTGGTCGTCCCTTACTAAGCCCCCTGCCGGCCTTGTCGCCCCATGCAGCCTGCTGTTCCGTCGTCCGTCCGTTTGTTTTGGTCGTGACGGCCCCTGGCTTTTTATATATTAGGATAGCAGAACTGACCCATTCTGTTTCCAAATACATCCAAAGCACTTTGCCTTCCCAAGGACCCAGCGCAGGCCCTGACACAACTAATAGTAGATGAATGAATGAATGAATGGACGAATTTGCTCTAGGAGGCAGACAGCTTGTCCCCCCTGGGAGAAAGGGCTCCTGGTTGAGTTTTCGCATGCCCTAGCCCGCGTCCCCCTGTGGCCGGTGCCCCTGGAGACCTGCCCGAAGTTCCAGCCTTGGGCTCGGATGCACTTCTCCACGCCTCGGAAGATGATCCCGCTGTCATTGAGCACGTACTCCTGTCTCTCCTCCTCTGAGGCCAGAAACACATCATCCTCTGAAAGGCAGAGGTCAAAGGGGCTCAGCAGGGACCAGCTGCAGGAGGTGCCGGGAGGCTGGCTGGCAGGAGAGGCCAAGAGGGGCTTGCTGGGCTCCCGGGCTGTCAAGAGGCCAAGCTCCATTCCACCTGGCTGATCTCTCCCAGGCAGGGACCAACCCCAACCCAGCCCAATACTGAAGGATTGTAGGAGTCCTGATGTCTTTGGCCGACCCTACTGGTGCCAACAGCAGCCTCAAATTTCTTCAATGCTAATGAGAATACTGACCCCAGAACCCCTTAAAACAGGGGTGGGCAAACTTTTTGACTCGAGGGCCACAGTGGGTTCTTAAACTGGACCAGAGGGCCGGAACAAAAGCATGGATGGAGTGCTTGTGTGAACTAATATAAATTCAAAGTAAACATCATTACATAAAAGGGTACGGTCTTTTTTTTTTTTTTTAGTTTTTTTCTTTTCGAACGGGCCGGATCCGGCCCGCGGGCCGTAGTTTGCCCACGGCTGCCTTATAATGTGCTTTCTATATTGCAAGCATTAGTGCTATGAATTCTCACCATAACCCTTAGAGGTAGGCTGTTATTCCCATATTACAGATGAGAAAACTGAGACTCATAGAGAGAAGCAACAGGAGAGCTGGGACCGAACCAACGCTGTCTGATGGCTAAAGCCCAGCTCTTACCCACTCCTGGGCCCCTCCTGCCTCAGGCCCCATCGCTGCCCACTGGCCTCTGCACACAGAAACCACCGATTCCCATCCCCCTGGCACAGGCTCCTGTGGAGCACCTGCTACCAGGTTCCTCTGCCCAGTGCCCACCTCCACCTAGGCCTGGCTCTCACCAAGATCTTGGCATTGACCTCCCTAGCCATTGACCTGCCTCCCAGGCCCTTCCTAAGGGTAAGCCCTCCTCTAGGACAGCTTCCAGGAAAGCTTGTGCTTCGGTCTTGGCAGCTCCTACCTGGGCACCAGGGGTTGAAAAGGAGAACAAACTCGCCCAGCTTCCGGTCACTGTGTTTGCGGCGAGAGGAAAGCCTGGCGCTCAGCCGGTAGCGGCCAATGACGGCATCGGGAGGGCTGGTGACCTTGATGGTCACTGTGTTCCCCTTCTGAGCTGCCCTCACTGCCGTCCAGGCATTTCCCACCTCCAGCTCCGATGTCGGGAACACGGCTTTGGTGCCGAGAGCCTCAGAAGCCTGGGGCCCTGGAGGAGAGGAGAGGCACTCAGGAGACCAGCCACCCCAGGAAATCCAGCTCCGGAAAAGCAGAAAGCCGCCGGCCTGGACGTGCAGCCTTCCCTCCCCGAGCTGCGGGGAAGAGCCTGCCCAAGACAAGACTGGGCCTTGGCAGAATGGGGTACTCAGCTGTCCCGACTCCCACCCACCTCCTGGATCAAAGAGAAAGTGACAGGCCCCTTCGAGACCAAAGTCTGCCTTTTGTCTGGCCAGGAGAGAAAGGTGTGGGCTAACAGGTGCCTGCTGATTTCTTGTACCTTCCAGAATCCTTGGTGTCCTCAGGATTCCAGAGTCGTCATCTTGTCTATCCCCCTGCCTGCTGCAGCACCTCCCAGCCACCCCCAGAAAGCTGTCATCAAAACCTTCCAGGATCCAGGGCTCAGCCCACCCGTAGGGATTTGTTTGCCCCCAAGTTTGGGCTGACGACTACAGGGTCTCAGGTCACTGGTCACAAGACAAGTGTTCCTGACTGCGGACCAGTGGAGGCTGCTGTGAGCCAGTTACCTGTCTCCACCGTGAAGATGAGGGTGTCCTTGCTGTCCAGGGGGCAGTTCAGCTCCAGCATGAAGGTGAACATCTGGCCCCTGCGAACCACCAGCTCGGGGCCGGGGTACTCCTGGGTGTGGTGGGCAGCACCATTCCTTGGCCACTGCCAGTCCACCTCGGTGACTCTGATCCCTGAGGGAGAGGACAGGGCGATGAGGCCAAGCCCGTGGCACGTTTCTCACCCCTGCCCCCCATCTGCCCCAGCCTGCCAGCCATGTGCTCATTCAGCCACTAGTTGTCCCACACAGTAGATCCTGGTTTTTTGTGGTAGTTACGTTCTATCAAGTCTCCGTGAACACTGAATTAGTGAGCACTGAACCACTGCTCTTAGGGAAAGTACAGGGCTAGGTTCCTGTGAGCCTTTGTCACAATTTTTTTCATCAGCCAATCAATATATAACCTTGTTTTTATATATTGATGAGCAGCATGTGAGCGGGGCTGCTGGCAGACAGGGGACAGGGATGGGGTGGGGGGACCGTGGCGGGAGGGGTGGGGTAGGGGCATGGAGGATGT